ATACCTTAAGCAGTAGACAAAAACCATCTCTTAAGGCAATCCCTTTCATCAGATAAGTAACCAGTCATGACGCATTCAGTAATGGTGTCTTATACTTATAATATAGCATGGATCAGCRGAGATAACAGTCACACTATAATATTATACTTAAAATGTTTTATAATTATAATGATGAGAATTTATCTTTATATATAAGGACCATTGTAGAAGCTTTTAGGATTATATTGAGAACTGTCAAGCTTTTGTCCTGGGGGAGGGGACGGTGCTTGTGTGTATTTTAAAGACTGGTAGACACTCCAAATTTCTTCCATTGAGAAAGTTATAATATGGATATTTTCTGAAATTACACAATATACCCTCCTCAGACCCTCCCCAACTTTTGGAAATTCCAATCCCCCTCCATGGGGGAGGTATGAATATTTTCTGGAACTACACAATATATACCCTCCTCAGATCCTCCCCACCCCTTGGAAATTCTGATTCGCCTCCAGGGGGAGGTAATTACTGTATGGATATGTCTAACAACTACATAATGCACCCTCCTCACACCCTCCCCACCCCTTAGAACTTTCAATCCCCTTCCATAAAGAGGCAAAGATAGTTTCTTGAAATGCATATTGACACTTTAACTGTCATTTCCTTTAGCTTTTATTAGCTTTTTAACTAATTTTTCTACTGGAAATTCAAAAAGCATAAAACAACAACCTTTTAACCTTTCCTAAGTGTGGTTATAACCATTAATGCATTCCACGTATTCATGGTTATAACTTTTCATCGGCTTAATCCGATCCCTTATGCTCAATTGTGTGCTTTTTTATCTGTGTCAAAGGTTAATCCACCTAAATATCCAAATAAACCACTATTTCCTCTCAGCTGGATATATAACAATATACCTTTTTGGAATTGTTCAAATACCATCATAGGGACGTGCCAAATTGCAATTTTTGGCAGGGGAAAACACTTTTAGAATCCATTGACATAGGTTGCTATCAATAGACCTCACTTCTGGTAATAGCTGTGTTTTTAATGGCTTGTAGAATCTTTGAGGTTGTTTGATCTCTTGTTTTCTGGTTTGATGTTGTAGAAATAGTCAAATACAATACTTTTAGGACTTATTTTGACATGTTTTGACTTAACATCCGCTGGTTGCCCCCTAGTCAACTCCAAAAAGTCACGTGATTGATAGTAAGCAATTCACTAGAACACATGAGTATTCTACACAAGACTGAGGAATATTACCTTGAGCAACAAAGAAACTGAAAACTGAATGTACATGTAGTTGCTAATATTATAATACATTGTTGCCGCATACATTGTTCTTTCTCCCTACAGTAGTTACTTGCTATGTCAGACAAGCTAAAATGCGTTTTTAATATATAGCATGGAACAGACACCAATTGCTTAAAATTGTAATGTCGGTTCTAGGCTAGGATTAATGTATTCTAAGGCTACATCGAGAAAAATATTACAGCAATAGCTACTAAAAAATCTTATAAATTTTGAGTTTGTTGGTTGGTCATTCTGTATTCCATTGGGAAAACTACCCATTGTTTGGGTTGACACTCAAGTGTAGCTGGGATTATTCGATACTGTAGAGTTGGGCAGAGAAGAGTAGAGTGTAGGCGAATAGGCTTTGTGATAAGATATGAAGAAGCTGATAGCTTTGACCTCTTGATCTTTAAAGTGCCTATCACCCTTTTTTTTT